AACTTTTGTTATCCTGCTGTGTCATTTATTTTAATTTAGTAATATATAGTTTATGAATGTAACAGAGTATCAATAAAGTTTCAGCGGCAGTAAAATGGCAATAAGATGAAATACTTATTCATTAATACGCAGCTTTTGGTGATAATATTAATATTATTTTGAAATATAATATAGAACTTTATAAAGATTAGTAATTTGTAAGTTTTTATGTCTAAATAAAAGCAGACTTAATAAAGGAATTCTCTAAATGCACTTTTTACACTTTTATGCACTGCATTTTTTTTACACTTTTTATGCACTGAAACTAATGTGTAATAGTAAAAAAATTCTGAAATGATATATGCGTAGCAGTTTACAGCGTTTATTTCCAATTTTTGATCTTAATTAAGCTGTAAATTTATTAGAAGGAAGCAAATAATAAAAAAATAGATATGTTTGTATACTTCTTGATGAATCACATGTTTCATTCTTAGAATTCGAATTTTTGTTACATTCACATATCAGGTTTCGTTTGTTATAAAATTTAATAAAGCATTTCTCTAAAGACCGCGAAAGAAACAGATATTATTGATTATATAAATTTTCGAATCTGATTTCTTAATGAGTTCAAGTTTCAACACATGACAATGCTTAATTACAGCACCCTTTAAATGCTGAGATGCAATGTAAAAAATTTTATTTTTTAATAATTTTTAAGAAATGATTTCAAATAGCTTTAATATTGTTTCTCAAAATGAAATGAAAATCGCTGAACACTGGTAGTTCGGACCGAGGTTCGAATCCCGCCAACGGGCTGGCTGCATGGGCCTTTTCGTGGTTTTCCCCATGTGTAACGTGTATGAGAGCCAGTTTCCCTTAGAAAGTCCTCCACGAAGGCATCCCTCTCCTTAGGCAGATAGCCCTAGTATGCTTTGCCGTATTCTCAATACACCAAAATGAAATGTGCATTTTCGTAGTATCAGACGATGTTTAGACATTTTTTAAAGTTCATCCCATTTAAATGGAGGAAAAAACATGTTTGTGATTACGGAAGTTTCCTGAAAGCACCAAATTTATCTCTTCTATAGAATTTCTGTATTTAATTAACCTATGGAAAATTTGTTACCAAGGTAAATCTTGAAACAAAAGCCCACAAGATTAGCACGCTTTATCAGGTGCGGGATGTGAAATGAAAGTGATAGATAAATTACATTGTTGTTGAGAATCACCTTTCAATCAAAATATATCTATTTATAATACTCAAATAAGTAGCAAGCTACACTGCACAAAAAATGCATTTAGTATTCAGAGGAATGGTCAGTTATTAAAATAATTTTTTAATGATTTTATCATTTTATATTTGGAGAATATTTTAATGATGAATTAGATTAATTAAATGTTTTATCACATCATTACATTGCCATAGAAATATTTACTATTTTACTTCTAGGTTGAAATCAGAAGCCTTCATAAATTTTGTAACTTTTATTTTACACTTCAAATTTCGACGTCACAGTTTGAGCGATTGAGAATGCCATTTGGTAACTAAACATGACGGTCGTTTTGATAAGAGAGTATTAAAAAAATTCTGCGAATGCATTTTTGGTACTTCCTTAATTAATGCGGCTATCGAGGCTGAAGCTTAATTAAACTTCATTCTTAAACAAACATTTCAGATTTAGCAACAAACTTTGCTAAATCTGAAATGTGCATTTAATATAAAAGGCCTCTGTATTTGTACCAGATTTTTAAAGCCAATTATGCCAATTTTTATACAAATTTTGAAAACCTAATTTTTATCAATTAGTTTTCTATCAGGTATAATCATTTCCATTTTTCACAGAACTCTGACCAAAATTCGCTCGTCCCCACAATTTTCGCTAACATTTAAAATTGTAGCAGCAACTGCGTATGAGTCCAAAACAAAACCAAACGTTCTAAAACAATGCTTAATTCATAATAATGTTTTCATAATTTTCAGTGTCAATTTTTTGTATATTCTGAATAAAAAATACGTTAAAGACTTCTCTATTATATTCTTTTGTCATTCATGCCTACATAACTTCTTTATAAATTTCTTACTTATGCAGCACATTTTCATCGATATTAAACTGATAACGATAATGAAATTCGTGGAAAATTCCTATACTTTGGGGTAACCACAAATATAGTAAGGGACTTACTATCCAGTCTATAGTAAGAGTTGCCGGTGATCCCACCTTGTTGCACCAGTCGCATCCGCAGAATTTTGAAGGAAACCTTTATTTATTAAATGATCCCACATAATTTTTTCCGTACTTATATCGGCAGTACAAATTAACTTATTCATTTTACCGGATTAAAAACCTCCGATTTTACTGGAAGCTCTGTTTCGAACGTTACGAGTACCAACTCATAATGTTCTAATTTATTATTGTTTTATCGGCTATATCCAGTCCTTCTTTTTCCCATTCGCAGAGGTTAATCCATTTGACCTGTCGTGAATAAACCTAAATACAATCACAGATGAGATTCTACAACCCACGAACGTTTCCTTTCGAATGGATATTCTCTTGTCACAGTTTTCCCCATTGCATCAATTTTGTTTGTCCGTTTTCAAACAAAGCACCATATCTTGTCCCTTAATACTTACTTTTTTATGGTAAAATCCCTTAACTTTGAAAATAATCTTTTGCTTGCTTTTCAGTAAAACGCAAGGGCTATTTTTTCCAATGCAAGGAAATGCAATTTACCAGTAACAGTTAATTTACATCCTTGTTCATAAAACAAAAGATGGCTTGCCGAGAGCCAATCGGGATTGCATCAAACGAAAAAGCAGATATTATGAGTGTGTTGTAAAGTCATGCTTGTCCAAAACTGGCGCTAAACCACGCTGCTGGATGGCAGTTTCACGATCGACGGCTCTGGCCAAGAAAAATAACGAACAAAAAGATTTCCGTTACAGGTGAAGAAAAGCAATATTTGCTCGCCTCTTGTTATCAGAATACACTTTACATAAAAATCAAGCAAATTTTGTAAAACTTCATTGTAATAAGAGAATATTAATTCCTTTCACAATTATGAGAATCATTTAAAAATGATTTTGAATTGTAAAACATTATAAATTGAAAATGTGTACGGCCCACCAGCTATGAAATAAGAGCTCTTTTTAAGTTTTTGAAAGTGAGAAATGCTCGACTTTGGAAAATTTATCATCAGATAAGTGAAACGTACAGAGGGAAATAAATGAAGGTATGAGGCGAAAGTGAGTGAGGATTTTTAACGAAAGAAGGGGAAAAATGGCCACGTCAAGAAGCGCCTGTCGTTGAGGTCGTTTGAAAGGGTAATTCACATTTCTGATATGTCAATGCATTTTCAAAACATTTCATAATCTTTATTACACGAAATTTTCACTAAACATTTGCTCTACAAAAACCTATGCTCGCGATGCTTGCCGAAACATTAACAGATGTTTACTTTGCAATACTATGCGACAGAAAGAAGTGAGTTTTTGAAACGGATTGTCACAGGCCATGAAATGTGAATTTGCTGCGAGATACCTAAAACGGAACAACTGTCACTGGAATGGCTACATGCTGGATCCGCGAATCCCAAGAAAAAAAGGCCACCTCTTCCTTCCAGAAAAATCATGTGCACTGTGTTTTGGGACTTTTCAAGGAATTTTGTTAGCGGACTGGATGGAACGGCACACAACAATCAACTCTACAGCACACTGCGAACTTTGAAGAAATTACTACGCGCGATACTGAACAAAAGGCTTCGACTACTGACTTCTGGTATCAAGTTCGAGCATGACAATGCAATTTCCATTTGTTTTCTCACCTCATTTTCTTGCCGACCAGCACTTTGCAAGTCATGATTTAATTAGGAAGAACGTTCAGAACTGGTTCAGGTCGCAGGCGGCTGAATTCTACGAAACGGGTATGCTGTATTTAGTGCCAAGATTTAGATGCTGCATTCATTTAGTGCTACGGTATTGCAGTTAGTGCCATCTGGCTTAATTAGCATAGTGAAAGTAGTTTAAGAGTGTGTAAATTTTTCTGTAATAAAATACAAATGAAAACAAATTGCTAATACTTTTTAACACCCAAACGGTACTCACGTTTTCGATCAGCTTTTGGACTTTTGCAGAATTCGTTATAAATTATTTGAAAATTTTTAATAAGATAAAATGCTTAAATTTTCGTGTAAGAAATACATAAATTTCATTTAATTCAGAGTCTCTGCATTAAATCCAGCCTTTTGCGTTACATAACAAGTATAGTGAAATAATATTCAAAATATCAACCTAAAACTCTTTATAAATTTTATGTAATCTTACTTTAAATTGAATTTTTCAAGCTTTTTAAAATTTTATTAAAAGGAGTCACAATACAATAATCTAGCAATAATCGGGTTTTTTCCGTTACAGGATAGTACGAGCCAAATATTCTTCCAAGAAATATATACCCTTTACATTTCCAGTCAGAAAATAAACCTCATAATCGACTCGGGGCTCATTTCAACAATGTCTATGATCTGCTGCCAGCAACTAATGTGGGTCAAATGTGGTAGCCTGTTTGTATCGCATCAGCTGTAGCTATCCGGTGATATCGTTGCGAATAAGCGGGAAAAATGAACATTAATCCAATTATTTTCCATCTTATACTTTCAGTTATTTTATGCTGAAGTGCTTACAATGATTCTCCTACGATTTTAAGTACTTCTCTGCTGTTTTTAAATGAAAACAGATTGTTGTCTACACGACTAAAGAACGTCAGTTTCGTTGTCCCCCATGTGCACAGCAATACGTTTTCACTTAAAAAAATCAGAAAATTGCACCAATTCAATTGCGCATAAATTTGGCATTACAGGCATTAAATATTATTTGTATTTCTTTATTATAAAAATGTATTATATACTCAAAAAATAGATTTTTTATTACTTTTCATAAAGCTTTATGTATCGTTAGGATTGCCAAGTTTTCTAAATATAAGAAATATGTCTCATAGGTTTATTTTATTTAAAAAAATAGAATGGCATATTTTAAAAACATTTTATTGTCAATATTTATTTAAAATACAAAAACACTGTTATAAGAGATTTATTTGGATTACATCAAAGCACCTGAAAGCAACGTGCCTAAGAGGAGGGATACTTTCATCGAAAGCTTCTTAGGAAATTGGCCCCTATCCCTGCGTTACACATAAGGAAAACCAGAAAAATTCACACGCATCTAGTTCATTTGTTATGAATTCGAGATAAAGTTGATTTACCACAGTTGACGAATTTTACTACTCGGTCGCTGGTGAGCTATTTCATCATTTAAAATTAAACTGGCCGCCTTTATGGACATTTAAGGGCGTTCTGAAAAACTTAACTTAACCAAATCCGGTAGCAGCGCATAGTTTCATATTTTGAATTTTAGCATAAAATATAATTTTAATAATATTTTGAGGACATTCAATTCTGAATATTTTGGTAATCTTCTAAAAAACTGCGATAAAAACAAATAAAACGTTTAAGCATTAAAAACTCTTGCAACTAAATTTGCTAAGAAATTACTGCTGATTGTGTTGTATTCAAAATTCCATTTAGTTCCGTAAAGGTTAGCATTATTAGATGTATTCTGGAACTTTATGAATCTCACAAAATCCGTTCAGAAAAAATCATTTTTATTTCCTTGTGACAGCGACCACCGCATTAGCCTTTGATGATATTTAATGGGCACGTTAGAAAATGGATTATTTAGTTTTTACTGAATTTGAAGCTTAAGCACATTGGCTGCTGAATAATTTCTTAGCTTTAGTACGATTCACTGGATCGTTCAATAGACGTTTGCTTTCTATTCCACGTAATTTAAATTTTTGTTGAATCAACCATACCTAATTAATGTTTTCGTCTACACTATACACATCATATAAATTTTGGGCTAATCGATTGAATCCAATTAGAATTGTGTTTTTAGTCTCCATAATGTTTCGATGTTTTATTCTAAACGAATGTGTCATCATCCGGAATGATTATAAAAGAATTATTTGATGAGACTATTATCATTCAATCGATTTTATCAAAACATAAGGCTTTTAAACCAGTTATACTTTAAGTAAACATTCTATAGATTTATGAATTTAGCACGGTGTGACGTTAATACGTATCAGAAAATATTAGACGATCATTTTCAAATAGCAAATAATAAGACGCACTTTAAACTATGCAGCGATAAATGATAATTATTATTGTACTCGATGTATCTTGTTTACTAGTGTACAAAAATAATACTCCTATAGATTTATAAAATATGAATTTTAAGTACTAAATATGGTGAAATTTCATTCTTTAAGTAATACAACCATAAAATAAACATAATTTCCAATGAAGATAATGTTGTATTTTAATTTTCTGAATCTTTCGAATTGAAACGCAAATAACACAAGATGGAAAGATGATCATTTTTTGAAATGCAGGTCCTTGAAACTTTCATGAATTACTTCGCAATAAATTGAAAGTGGTATCAGTTTATAAAGTCAGATTTTTTATTTTCTATGCTTCTCATCGCTTTAAAATTAAGCCTTCTCTTCTTTCCGAAGGAAGGTTAGTTGTTTTGTGGGGTATTTTTCGTTACTTCTCTATGCTGGGTTTCCTCATGAGCTTCGTTGTCGGAAGAAAGTTGCAATTTCTGCTTCCTGCAAGAAACGAAATATATGTTAAAAGCAAATTTCACTTGGAATTTTTTATTTTACTCCATTAGGAAGTAGTTCTCACTATTAGGGAGGATATCTGTCTACAGAATGTATGAAAGTTAAGAACAGGTTTTAGCAAGAAATACTGTTACAAAAGCAGTTATGCTGTTTCATGGAGTTACACACAAGTTCTTACATTGTCAGAGGACCTACATAACTAAAGAGTATATGAGACAAATATCTTAAATCATTGCAATCTTTTCTAAAGATGAGTGAAGGAAAGACTGGACGACTTCCATTCTTCTAATCTTCATTTCGTGTCGAGTTATAGTTTACATGTTTAATTCGGGGCTAGAAGCAAAAACCAGAAATAGTTTATAAGCAAAAATTCCTTGGTAATAAATTTTGACTTCGACAGTGCTTTCGAAATAATCATCATTATAAATGCACACTGGTGGTATGCTCCGGTCTGTCGCCTACGTGAAGAAAATTATTTAAGAAACCCATTTTATTGAACACACGTGCAGTTATAATTTATCATCTTCAATTTAGATACTTTATAACCCACTAAAAACACTTATCTGCGATATTATCCCCATGCATTCATTAAATTTCTTTCTTGCTTTTGCAGTAAAAAATTGCTAATTAATACAAAAATATAAATTATTTAGCAAGATAAGATATTTCCTCGTAATTTCCTCTTTTCTTCTTGTGCTCAAAATTATTACCCGAAAGTTCACCTAAAACGCAAATCTGCGACGTTATCATCATGAAGTGATTTATAGGTACTTTACTTTTCACCATGACATTTGGTGCGACGATGTTTTAAAACCACGAAGTTGTTTCACCGGGTTTTTTTTAACTCGGTATTCTAAAACTACATTCTTCTTGCTTCATTTTTTCTCACGAGGGACGACGATGTTTTTTTGACGATGCTTTCCCTTGCGTCCTTTCTCTGCAACGTTTTCGTCTGCTATGTCTTCCGCGGGCTTCAGCTTAGAGAACGAAAAACATTCCGACTAACTACAGATATCCTACTATATTCTAACGCGTAAGAAAAAGAATTGTGTGGGTGAAACTGAAGTTGCAAACGCATAATTTCTTCAAACCAAAAAAAAAAAAAAAAAAAAAAAAAAAAAAAAAAAAAAAACGTTAAATCCATCATCATAGCCATTGGGGAAAATTTTTGTTCAGTTGTCGAATCTTTCCCTAAATTTTCACAATTCTTCCTCCTTTAACATACTCATCTGATTTGGCTTTTTAACTTCCCTCACTCCCAAGTTCAAAATTCATATCAAAAGTTATCATCTAGAGGCAAGCAGGTATGTATTTTTTGACTATAAAAGTTTAAAGTGAAATTTCACGTACTAATTTGCGAGCACGAGAAGAAATGAAGAATTATGTTATTCAATATTTCATATTTTTATATTAATTAATAAATTTTTACTGTAAAAAAAGAAACAAATCATCAGCGTCGTAGACATTTATTTTCTGGTTAAAAGTTTTAAATGAACTTTTTCGTAATAATTTGTGAGCGCAAGAAGAAATGAAGAATCTTCTTATTCTATAATTCCCATTTTTATATTAATTAGTAATATTTTAGTGTAAAAGCAAGAAGGAAACTTAAGCATTTAAAATCTGGAAATTAGTAAAATTAATGCTACGTAGAGATCATAGAGTTTTAAAATTATACATCTTACTATTTCAAATCTTGATCTCTACTGTTTCATGATGCTAAACATGATCTCTATTGTTTCATGAAGATCTACTAATACATCTTTATAAAAGATTTTTATTAAATGCTCTGAACAGTCAACATCTCTGAATAATTATAATAATGAATAACTCTGAATAATTATCAACATATGTTTAAAATTCTATGAGCTACTTATAGTACATAGCGTTCACTTTTACTAATTTACAGAATTCTGCATGGTTAAAGTTCGTCTTTGCTTCCTCAGCAATAATTTATTAGCTGTACATTTCTAGCAATGCTAATGGATTATAAAGGTAATCTAGAATGATTCGACCAGTTCAACTTATTTGATATAAACTTTCATTACTTTCACAGAGCGAAAACGTTCTTACCTTGAAAACATTTCGCCTTCTTCCAAAGTGTCGGGAAGTTTCTCCCCTTTAGTTTCGGGAAGCAAAAGTAGCAGTAAACCACTAATAATAGACAAAGCTCCTGGAACCAGAAGAGGCACAAGAGGATGTGTAACATCACCCTAGAAAAGAAATTTCATCTATGTTACTCGAAAATTATTTTATCTCTTCGTATACGGGGTGAGTCAAAAATTAGTTAGTTTTAAAAGAAAAATTTTATATTTGAAAAACACTTGCGTTTTAACCAGATAGCAGGGAACTGACGACAATAATTGTGCCAGATCTCTTATATACCACACATAAATTACCCGGAAGTCCAACTGAATATTTCATGAGCTCAGTTTTGGAATTTTCGAAAAGCTGATGAAATGGGAATTTCATTCACCACTTTTGGATTCTTTGAGAAGTGGATTAACATTTTATTCTTTATGTGAATCCCAAACATCAGAAAATGTTTTTTTATGAATACGAAATTAAGACGACGAACTCAAAAGGTCGTTTATATTATAGGGACTGGAAATTTCATATTAAGGTCCATCAGTTCAGAAATTTTAATTTTTAGTTAGTTCGTAGGGCATTGTAGAAAGCGCACTCGCCTGTTTAAACATTGTTATGAAGAACTCAAACGATGTATAAAATTTTTTCATAAGGATATGATAATTGTAAAAAAATTGCTTACAGTGATTTGCGATTCATTATGCTAGAACAATACATAGCGGAAGATATCGTTTGCCCAATATAATTATATAAATGCTTATAGCGATGAAAACTGCCACTGAATTTTTTGTCTATTCACTGCTGTTTATTAACTAAAGCGAAATCCCACATGAAAGGCCATTTTTAGGGAATACTGATAATTCTGGAAGAGGTAATGAGGGAATGAAATAGTATTCCTTGCACTTGGACTGACCTTGTTCAGCATTCAGTGACTCCGTGAAATGTGCCAGAGAACACATAACTTTAGTACAAAATATAGAAAAATCTAAAGAATCATCAACTTGATTCCTTCCAATCTCATTTTCGTTTCAACTTTAGATCTAAATTTTTTAGACTCATGGTGTGCTTAATAGCTAAATTATCTAAAAGTTTATCTTGTGTGAATCAAATAAACTCTGTTGCGAATGGTGTATAGGGTACCTATTATTTTAAATAGTTATTTTTATTAGATCTCCATCATTTCTCTCTTCCATTTCCCTACCAGAATGTAAATTAATGTGGTAGTATTTATCGTGAGATTTTCGGATTGTAAGACAAAACATGTTTCTGCCTCTTGAGTTCACGTTTCTAGATTAATTGGATCATATAAGACAATATTCTTCGGTTGCATTGCAGTTGCTGATATTTAAATTATTACGCTGGTGAGATGTTTGGAGCCAACTTCACGTTAAATTATTTATGTATCCCTTGGCTACTAAGCTTAAATTTGAATATACTGTAACTTTAAACTATATAGCCGGAAGTAGTTGGCTAATTTACATGCACGATTCGTGCATTTATATTCATAATTCTGATTTAATGAAAAGATTTGACAAATCTTTTTATTTATCGAAAAGATTTGTCAAATCTTTTCGAGACTCTGTAGTTCTGTCCGGACATTGCGATAATTCCCTTAATGTCTCTTAGGAGTTTAATACTATTTTATGCTACCAAAACAAGTCAAATTTTAGGAGTTTGATCATACTGAAAGTAAATGCTATACTTACGGGATCTGCGCACCAGCTAAATGATTAAATATTGTTAAATAAAGGAAATGGACTGACCAACTGTCGGATGAAAGGTGCTCCCATTGCTCCTATTCGAGCACAGCTGGAACTTGATCCTAAACCCACATTTCGAACCACAGTTGGAAAAATCTCAGCAGTGAAAATGAAAACAATGTCAAAGGAAGCGGCATTAAAAAACTTGCCAGCCATTGCGAAGGTAATTGTTAGCCATGTCATGTCTAGAATAGATAACGAAAGACATTGTTATGCACAGCAAACTTTAATTTAAATATTTTTATTCACAGGTATGATTTGAAAATATTATTAGCTGCGCTCAAATTTCTATAACTTTATCACCCAGAATTAAGAATAGATAGGAATATTTATAGCATTTTGAGCAATAAAATTACGAAATGAAAAGAATGATATAAATAAAAAATATGATGTGGATCCCTCATGACTTCCTTGTACGGCCTATTAAATTATACACATTTGTTCTCCCCTTCATTTAAATGTATTTCCTGGAATTATTTTACTTCTTCATAGATAATCTGGAAGATACATACATCCGTAAATAAGTACTTACAGACGTCATAAAAAATTCCATTATAAATCTATTTTACAGTCCGTTTTAGAAAAAAGTATCCTTTATTTGGTCCGTGCGTACAGATGTCAGGCAAAAAAATATCGTCCAAATGAATTCGAGTATGGTCAAAATGCATATTTCCATTGGTTCTCTCTTTGTTTCCTTATAGTACTTCTTTGTACGTTGTGTTGCTGTGATCTGTCTCATTCATCTGGCATTAACTTCTGAATTTTATCCTGAGTCGGAACGCAGGATTTCTTGTTATGGGCCTAGGGCACCTTATAGGTAACTGTACGACTTTGTACAGTTTCTATTCGATTTTGGTGAATAATTTCTCAAATTCTAAGTCTAAAAGCTTATCATCCTTGTTTCCCAACCTCCAAACTATTCAAGAGAGCATTCGGTCCTCCAAGTATTTTAAGTGACACTATGCAACAAAAACACTATACACATACAAAAACATTCAGTCTGTCCCTTGGATTCTAGCTTGAGACTATAATGACAGCTAGCAACACTAGCCACTATATCAATCAGAACGACACAAAAAATTTAATGTGTGCTGATGATTAATTAGAAGAATTATCAGTAATTAAGTATATGTCTGTATGTGAAATTTAAGAAATGACTGGGCATCAGACCAATAATTCGAAATGTAGTCACTTCCAGATGAACCAGCAGTAGATTGGCAAGGTCCTTCCTAAAATGCAGTAAAGTTCATAGAACGATGAAGAAACAACTACCACTATTAACCTGAAGAAACATTATCTGTGTAAAATATAACAGGAAAATCAAAAGCTTGACATAACATCAATGACAGCATATTATTTCACAAAATTATGGAGTCGTTTATATTCGCAACAGCACAAAATTTAATTATGAAGAATCTGGAATGTTTAAACATTAATTTAAAACTTCCCTTTAAATTTAAATTGCACATTTGTAAGAATAAACTAAGAGTAAACCATTAATATTCTGTTTCACATTGATTCCTATAGAAATAAGAGTGATATAAACAAAAATATCATTAAAATAACCAAAACGTAACTTGACATAAAAGTATAACAAACAAGGATGAAAATTTTAGTGACCCCAGTATCACCTAGTCCAGCAATGTCAAAGAGTTGTTGCTACTAGAAAGGTCGGTCAAAAGGTAATGCTAGCTGCACTGTAGTTCGCAAATCGTAAGCACTAGAAAAATTAAATTTTGGAGGTAGATGCATTTGTCCTTCACAGCTTAACCTGTACCTAATTTTTATTTCCTGTTGCTGGAAGTATGCCACCTCAAATGATCAACATGATATCCTATTACGCCAATGGTGCAATGATCGAATTCCTCTACAGACCCGAGGGTAACTGAGCAACATCAAATCTCAGTAAGTGTTTCCAGTCTATGGTAAAAATACAATGAACCTAATTAATGATTGTCGATGGCTTCAAATGTTTTAATGCGGCTACTGCAACAACCAGGACCAACCACGTTCAGGTAGTCTGTAAGCCCACACAGCTAATAGAAAAACAACATTAACTCAACGATTTATCCAAAATGCATCACCACAAAACAGACCATGGAGCACACGAGTATAAACAAGTATAGCAAAGAACCTTTGTCAGTGCTTATCCAACGATTTAGATATTTGTGCAACATTTGTGCTCGTTGATTATAACAACATTATAATGACATCTGTGCTGGCTGTGTTCCATGGCTGTTGACAAGGGAAATTATGCAGATCAAAAAGAACGAGTCCGGCGATCTTCCTCAAAGCTTCCCTTGGAAAATCTAGAGTTTCTATATGGAGTCATCACGTGTAATGAAACAGGACTGGTACATTTCGATCCTGAGGGCAGAAGGTCATTGATGTTGAATGAACTGGACGTGCATTTTTATCATGGAAACACAAATGTCTAAAAACCAAATGGGTTTTTAGACTTTTTTGCTAATGAGAACTTCATTTTATTGATAGATTTAAAGGAAGCTATGAAATTATTTTATTTGCAGCACTTTGAAAGGATAGGGCTTAATTTAGGAATAAATGGCAGAAAAATGGATGAAACTGAAGTATTATTTATTTAATTAGAATCAGTTGTCTACCTAAACTAATTGTCTATTACTTTGAAAATTCCTCTTATTTCAAAATGTCACATGTAAACAAAGCTGTGGATTGAAGTATACTATGCTTTCGCGCTTTCCAAAGAGAAATATTCCTATTCTATAATTCAAAATTGTGAAAGGCATGACATTAAATATATAATAATAAACAGCCTAATATGATATTAATAAGCAACATTATCAATAGGAAAAGGAAAACCGATAGTCATTACTTCTACTTGGAAAGAACATACCGAACGAATACCCAAAAAATGGTACATACTGCTTCCACTGTTTTTAAAGTTAAATCGTTTGTATAAGAGAAAAATTCGCTGACGCAGAAATCAATTGGAAAGTCTTTAAATACATCTGTAGCAACAATAACTGAAATAATGAACCAAGTCGTACAGTTTAAAAATGCTAAAGCACATGTTCACAATTCATAAAATCCTATATGGAAATTGTTTAGCAGGACACAAATGGAAATACATTGTGACCCTTGATGAAGCATGAATTTACCTAAATGGCTGTAAAAACAGCGTCTATTTATTAACGAAAACGAAGAGAAACAGTGCATACACCTGATTCCGTTAATGCAAAGAAATTTTCAGTGAGGTGTTTATAATTGTCACAGGATTATCTTAAAATGGGAAATTAAAAAATAAGAAAAGTGGAGAAAGATGCTAATATAAACTTAAAGTACTATCAAGAGAAAGTTCTGAGAACAATATATGCAGATGAAATTCCATTTTTTATCCCTATGGAAATAATGAAACTTCATCAAAACAAAACCACAAGTCATACTTCGAAATGTACCACTACATTCATTGAAAAAGAAAAAAGACTGATATAGATACCATACACATCTTTTCAACGTACTCCAGCAAAGTTCCCAGACGCTTCCCCTATGGAATGTTGTTCCTTTGGTCTCTTAAAATGAGCTCTTTCTAAGCGGAAACCCACCATGATTGATGGACTCTGGAAAGTAGTGGAAGAGAAATGGAAATCAATACCTCTGGATATCTTACAAAAACCCTTCTATCACGGAAATCAAGATGCAGTTGTCAAAAAAAGGGCCTTTGTATCAAACATTTAAAAATTACTACTCACATTTTAAAAATTAATAAAACGGCCCCCGAAATCTTTTTGGAAATGCCTAAATATCCTCTATAGCAGGGATGGACAAGCTCCTTGATAGTCCGAGCCATTTTTCAAAATTTGAAATTTTTCGCGAGCCGCAATTAAATACGTATTTAAAAGGTATGCAAAAAAGGTATTAAACATTTCATTACATTTATTGAAAACATATAAATAAAAGAACAAAATATGTGTATTGAATTTAAATATTAAATATTAAACACATTTATTTTACTTCTCTAGATAACTCTTTAAAATTTGGTGAAAAATTGGTGAGAGCACTTCTCAGTAATTCTTTGAGATGCTGGTTAGTTAATACTGATCGGTGTTTGGATTTCACGAATTTTAAAGTGGAATAAAATGATTCACATAAGTACGTTGCTCCGAATATTGAAATAATTCGACAAGCAGCCTTTTTTAATTCAGGATACTTCGATTCTGGTACAAATTTCCAAAATTCAGTAATCGGCGTCGATTTGTATTTTAACTGTAGAGCTTGATCTTCCATCTCTATTAATTCTAATTCTCCAGATGCTTTTCGGGTCATAATTATATCGTAGATAGAAAACTCACCTTGAATCATGTTAATTTTAAGTGGATTCAGAAAAAAATCAAGAGACAATGGACGGAAATGAAATTTGTTACAACGTTTCACTTAGTCTTTCATATTTGTTGTCCGTAATTTAAAAGACATTTTGAAACACATACGGAACGATAATAATTTTTTAAATATGATAACTCAAAAACTAAAAGGGAACTAGGTACATTTATCGAGAGCCACAAATAATCCTTTAAAGAGCCGCAGGTTAGCCACCCCTGCTTAATATTATTAATACTATAAAGCTTATAGTATATAGTATTAATAAATTAGCTTATACTTTATAGTATTAATAAATTAATACTATAAAGTATTAATACTATAATATTTAAATAGAGCTTTTTGTATGTAATCGGTACAATATTAGAAAATTCTTCAGTTCCCCTATTACTTTTCTTAGAATATGTAAATTAGTTTCAATGGTTTAAGTCGGATTCTCTTTAAACTTTAGAAATTAAGTAGTAGGTGCTAACATTTAAAGCAGATAATTGAAAACTGCTTTGCAACAAAATGCCTTGGTAACAGTTACACCATGTGAAAACAATGTCGTTTGAATCCATAAAAGACATGGACGGCATAAAATAAAGAAAAAAAATATGTTTCTTTCCTCCCTTTTTAGCTTCTTTCCTTAAACAGATAGTATTTTAATTAAAGAAAATAATCAAAGATTGGTAAGAGCAATTGTTAGATTTTTTTTCGCATCTAGGGTTAATCAAATCTTTTGCATACTTCGTAAAAGGTACATCATGACATCGTTGGAGAGAGAAGACCGTAAACTGACGCTGAAAGACATCGAAAGGACGCAGAGGATCTTTATTCAAAAGGGGGCTCC